TACTAAGTTTTCTCACAACTCATTTATTCTCAAACTGCGAAACGAATATAAACATTCTCAAAAAAATAACGAAATTTGTCACACAAATAAAAACATTTAAACGTAAACATTTCAAATTTATCATAATACTGACAAATGCACAACAGAACGTTTTCTTTCAGGTCTAGTGGGTTAGCAGTTACAAGGTATTTCATGAAACAGATATGTTTTTTCAAGATATAGCCAAGTTCTCTTTGACTCTCGTTGGGCAAAAGAAATTTCATTGAATGCATTGTGACTGCTAACCCAAACACTTGAAGAGGTCTAAAACTATTTAGAGAGTTATTGCACATTATCTGATGTATACGGTATGCCTCACAGTGACATGTGCGCATGCGCAATAGTTTGTTTGTTTACTGCGAAATAAATATAAACATTCTCAAAAAAATAACGAAATTCGTCACACAAATAAAAACATTTGAACGTAAACATTTCAAATTTATCATAATACTGACAAGATATGCACAACAGAACGTTTTCTTTCAGGTCTAGTGGGTTAGCAGTTACAAGGTATTTCATGAAACAGATATGTTTTTCAAGATATAGCCAAGCTCTCTTTGACTTTCGTTGGGCAAAAAAAAAATTCATCAAATGCATTGTGACTGCTAACCCAAACACCTGAAGAGGTCTAAAACTATTTAGAGAGTTATTGCACATCATCTGATGTATACGGTATTCCTCACAGTGACATGTGCGCATGCGCAATAGTAAACAAAATTTGTTTTTTTACTATTGCATATGCTCACATGTCACTGTAAGGCATACCGTATACTTAAGATGATGTGCAATAACTCGTAAGTCGCTAAATCTATACCTATAAATAATGTCTTTCTGTGGAATATTGAAAGATTGTATTAGGTCAGTAGGCCAACTCTGATGGATAGAAATGTCTCATAGAATTGAGAAGTGACGTCAGAATCGATATCTCGGTACTCTGATTCCTATCCTAGAAACGCTTCGACACGAAAATATTCATTCAATTTGGCTCTGATGAATAGATCTATTCAAATTGGATGAATATTTTCGTGTCGAAGCGTGTCTAGGTTAGGAATCAGAGTACCAAGATTTTGATTCTGACGTCAATTTGACGTCATTTTTCGATTCTATGAGACATTTCTATTCATCCAGAGTCCCACTGCAGGGCTGTTAAACCTAAAACCACCAAATTGAATCGTGGACCTCAGCAATCGTCGTTTCAGGGAAAAACGGAAATGATTTTCAATCAAACCCGTTAAATAGATTGTTGGAGAATACAGGAATTTAAAAAAATACTGCTAATAAATATTTAAGTACAAGTATTGAAAGTATTAAGAATGACCACCGAATACAATAATTTCATACAATAATCTTTCAGTTGTCTCAATGGATTACATTGGAAAAAAAGTAATGAATTGTTTATGTTTCACAGAAGTAACAGTGAAAGTTCCTTTGATTTTCAGTTGAGACTCCAAAATACCCTTTGATCTATTAGTTGTTTCGATTTGAAAAGCGTAAAAATGGTTATTGAAAACAACGGAGTTAATTTCACTATAAACAAAGCATACAGTGTCATTTGAATTGATGATTATATGAGATATTTTTCCAAAAATTGGTTATTTTGAATTTTCCACAAATATGACATCAGCAATTCTGTATGAGGTATTATTAATTGTTACTTTATTACAAAAATTTGAATTTTTTAAATTGTTGAGAAATGTCATTCCCATACCACTGAATAAGTTCAAAAATTCCTCAATTTTCAATTCATTTTCGACATAATTTTTGTTCTCATATACTACTTGATTTCTGAAACCTGCATTTTGCCTGAACTTGTGGCACAGTTTCAACTGATGTTTTTTTGCTAATGTCTGAGTAATGTTCACTCTTGAAGCTACAACATTAGCTGATTTTTTCGATTCTCGATGCTTAGATTCAAATCGGAGAGTTGATAAGTTTTTGAGAGGTCCAACTTTCTCCATAATATGAGGATAATGCAGCAAATTATGGTGCTTTGGCTTGAGAGGTAACAAGAATGAGTTTTTATATAGAGTGTGATGTTCTTCAACAAAATCTGCCAACATTCTGCATTTTTCTGTAGACACAGTGGACGACAAAATTATATCCAACATTTTTCGTAGAGATCTGTACAATTCCCAGTATTCATTGTGTTGTGGAACTAACTGACCAAATATTAGTCCAAAATATAGAACCATACATTTGAAGGGCCTCGGGGAAGAACGATCATAGTCTCCTGCACCAAAAGTTTCAGTATTGCATTTTTTAAGTTTGAAGTCGATCAAATAAATTATAAAAGCTATGAAAAAAATGTGTAAAGCTTGTTATGAATAATTCATTTTTTTGTCTGACTTCATTCCCAGTATCAGCTTTGTACATTTTACAGAATCTGCAGAAATAATTAGCTTGAAAACTCTCAGTGAAACCCAACAAAGTATTCAAACCCAAATTATCACCAAGACACAATGATAAATAAATATATACCTTTTGTTCTCCACCGACCTGTAAAGTTATTCCTTTTTCCTGCAGTTGAATTATCTCATCAATCAATTTTGAAAATATAACATAATTACCAAACTTCTTCTTTTCAGAACTGTGAAAAGGAAGTGCTAAAAATATATTTTCCAAATGAGCTCTATATTTGGGTGGAATACATGGAATTGTAAAATATACAGCACCCAACTTGAGGATACCAGCATGGGAACCAAGTGGGTTACCCACTTCATATTCATCGAAATAGATAAACAGAGGTAATATAATGTTACCTGATGTTGGGCAATTTTTCAACTTATTTTCCCAGAACTCTGTTTGTATGATATTTGAAACGGAGCTGTTTCGTCTAAGCACATGCATATAGTTATCTATATCAAGTAATACTGATGGTAATGATAAGAAGGTTTCTAATACTTTCCCAATCGGAATAAACTGGCTTTTATATATTTTAGGTAAGCCCATACCCTGGTCAATATTATCCAGTCTTTGTCCAACTGTATATTCTAAAGGTTTGATATAGAAATTTGATTGTTCAAGATATTTCAATCGAAAATATTCACTTCTCAGATCTCTGAAAACATTCCTGAATGTATCGAAATAAGAAATGATTTTTTTTTCAAAGTCATCTACTTTATCAGAGATCATATTCAGCAAATCTTCATGAAAAATGGTAATTGGTTTCTCAAATAAGTGATGAATAGAGTCTATGAAAGTTTGCACGTTTTTTCTATTAAGTGAAGTATCAGCATAAAATTGAGTCACCAAATTAGAAGCATTATCCTTGACAATGTCCTGAAATACAATCAGGATATTCTCTTTATTTCCAAAATGACGACTGAAATGTATGTGGGATTCATCGACATCTGAATTTTGTGATTTGGCAGTATGTTCTGAAGGTATATTGGACGTTGCAGACACATTTGGTATTTCAGTATTGGGTATAGTTATACTATCAGAGGTACAATGTATTTTCAAGTGTCTCCTGAATGAATTCAAGGCTGAAAAATTCCTATAACATCCTGGCTCTCCACATTTATATATGGAATTATTGTCTAAATGGTGAAAGTGTTTCAAATGGCATATAAGGGATTTTATGTCGGAGTATACATTATTGCAATATCCACAGAAAGACATTTTTCCACAATCACAGAAACTGGTACCTACTTCATCACATTGTTGAGATCATTACATTTCAATCATAATTAATTCATTCCCTCAAATGAAATTTTATATCTGATATAACTGTTACAGTGCCTGATGATTTATTCGTAGCAGGCATAGAAAAAAAAAGTTCTTGGATAAAGTTCCATATATGTTTTGATTCAGATGGATATTCAAGATTCATGGCATGGATTACCTTGAATAATAGTTCAACGGTTCTCACACAGGACTGACACTTGTACATCTTATAGTTCAATAAGGGACGAATCTTATACAAACGATCTTCTGGCGTTGTTTCTTCTTCACTTGGATTTCTAGCAAAATGCAAACTTCTCAGAATTAGAAAAGAGCGATCGCGACTCATATATTTTGAAAAACATTTCATCCCAAAAAGCCAATGAGTTTTCCAATAGTCCCTTAAAACGTTGCACTTGATTGTTTCTGTGTGGATAATAAGTCCTATAAACTGAAGTAACTCGTCCTTGGTAACATTTCTCCAACGAGTTATTCGTGAATGTTCCGAAATACCAACAGAAAGGAAAATGTTTTCAGCATAATTATTGGTTTCATTAACAACATCTTCCAACAAATTGTCGTCAAATAATAATCTAATAATCATAAGGACTAGCATTCTCAGGAATTGCAATTAAAAAACCTGGAGTTTTTTCGAAATCAATTTGTTTCATTTCCGTACAAAAATCATTCCATACATCCGAATTGTCCACAATATTGGTACTGCCTTCCGAAATACCGATGTCATCAACTGTTAAGGTGGTTTGATAACCTTCATCTACAATAAAAGCAAGTAAAAAATAGCCGTACGTATTTACAAAAAAAGGAAAAGACTCGCCTTCATCAGAGGACAGCTCATATTCACTAGGGACATAGGAGCCCTCACTATTAAAATCGCAGTCCTCAATATCTGAATCCTCTAATATACGTAAAAGTTCTTCTTCTATGAGGTTTTTAACTTCGATTCTTCGCCTTTTTCCTTTGGAGGTACTTGGTTCATTCATCTCTGAATCACCCATATTGCACTTCTAAATTTATCCCTTGAATCTAATGAAATCATAGACGACGCCGATTTTACTATAACCCAACCCTATTGAACGTGCTCCGACTGTTTCGACACATCTACTACAAGTGCTAACACAATACTGCCGGTTTGATAAAATAATGTATATGACGCCCCAGTGCGTCATGCGCGCGGCTGAAAAACAATGGTCACCGCACGGGTGCGTCATGCACACTGAACGTGTTAAGTTTCACGAATTAAAATTTTTACTCACCAGGAAGATTTAGAGTTGGAACAGCGTTCCCAAATAACTTGTGAGACCAATCAGAAATGTATTTTGCCTCAAAATGACTATCACACAGCCTTCTAGAACCATAAACTTCTTTTGGGTCCATTTCCATCAGTTCCAAGTTATTAATTACCAGTATCCATTTCTTGAACCTATTTATATCTTTATCTGGATTAGG